GATGCAGTCTTTTGTACATAGTTAGATGTGATTCATGATTCGGCTTACACTTAGTTGGCTCACCTTAAGGGTAAAAATCTTATGCACGCGATCAAATCCTACAGTTTCATAACCTTTCATTCAAGAACACTCAATAAGGGTATTCTCTGGTTCCCAGCCCCATACAACTCCATCCTTATCTTTCGAGCAGTACAAGTTGCGCTAGAGTCAAAAATTCAATTATTATTGTAGGGGATGGTGTTTGGGTTTGCAATTATTGTAGGGGACGGTGTTTGGGTAAACACTAATGAAGATTTTTATACTGGAGCTCTATTTTTGTTATTTCTTTATGACATATCCATTGATTACATCAACGGAGCTCTTGCCTTTTCATCTCATCCAATGCCCAACACCTCTGACCTCATCTTCTTGAGTCAGATAAACAAAATTCCAACAGTAGAAAGATATATGAATAAGGCATCCAATCTAATGCCAATAGGTATTTTCTAGTGATTGTGAAAGTAGCTCGATGACGTACATAAAGGTGTAAATTAAACACCGCCAATTTTGAGACCTTCTCTTTAGGAAAGCGGGATAAGGCCGTACTAGACCAAGACACCCGATACGATAGACATGTGATACACAACATGATTTAAAATTGGTTGACTTAAAAGTAACTAACTAACACGATAAAGTGAAAATTGACAAAAAGGAATTAGAAAAATAAAAATATCATCTAATTTTAACGGAAGTCTTTGTCTTCTGAAAATATGTGTAGATCTTCTCGCGTGGATGACCAAGTTTTCTTTCTAGAAGAGTGAGACAGTAAATACAAACTATCGAAGGGAAATCACTTACAAATAGCTGCATTTTGAAACCCCCCAATCATTCAATCTTCACAATAGTTTTTGCTTATTGCAAATATGGATTACAATTTCATGTTCATTCTCTCTTTCATTTTCATACTAAGTTTTCATTTTCTGGAAACATTTGCAAATAATGCCCCAGAAGAAAGCAAATTAGAAAC